TGGAACTGCTTAATGTAAGCTATAGTGTGACATATGGAAGGTTCTATTGTTGACATGAATTCTTCATCGCTGTTGACCGAGAAAGTCATATATAAATATGATGAAGCATAGATTTTCTTGTTTTATTGAAGCAATGATAAGCATTGATTAGGTATGGTTCTGTGCGCTGTACAAAAACGAAAGCTGTGATTAGCAATATATCAGTCGAAGTGCTAGAGTGAGTGCACGATGTGAGTTCTGGATAGGCTACTAGCCAACCAGAATGTTCCTCAATTAGACTGCGAACAACTGCGCCCACAATGCCCCGAGTACCACTTATTAGCAATGTCTCTCTTTCTAAAGGCGCGCTATCAGTTCTCAGTATGGGTCCAAGCTTTGCGCCAACCCAGTTCATTACACCATGGGTGACGCGAAGAATTGTTGGCAATCTAAAGCTGCTACATGAACGTTTACGTCAGAGAGCAAGGCAAAACGATGAAGGTCGTCAAAACAGTGCAAGTACTGGCCTCGTGTACCTCATATTCCGTTTCCATCACTGAGCTTCAGGCCTCAAGAACCCCATCCAATCGTAGACACAAAATTTCGCATGCTGGCCACATCATATCACCAGTAATCTCACTCCCATTCAACGTCGCGGTTTACGTGAACTTCATGATCTATGCACTAATAAGGAAATAAGAATATCAACCAGCGATAAGGGAGTAGAGTTTGTGGTGATGACGCGTAGCTTAGATATGGCCATAACTGAACACCATTTGGATGATAGCACTCTGCATTGCACTTCTTCCGAGCAAGAGTTTGCGAAACAAAGTCGTCGTTTGAACAGAGTGTGGGTAAACATAGCGAACTCTATCGGCTTACCTAAAGCTCTAATATCGCAACTCAAAATTGATTTATCCAAAGACTCTGTCCTTTACGTGCTGATAAAGACACACAAACTCCTTGCGTCAAAATTGCTCTCAGAAAGTCCATTAGACTACAAAGTAAGACCCATAATAAGCAGCTGCGTTGGCCCAAACGATAGAATCTCTTGGCTATAAAACTTAATCTTAACACAATTACTAAAGTTTGTGCTTGCCCATCTTTCGAATACTAAAACGTTTTTGGAGCAGCTCAGTACAACGCAGTTCGATGGAGAATGTGCGATAGAGACCTTTGATGTCACTTCGTTGTACACAAATATCTTCAATGAAGATGCTATGGAAGACGTGTATGAGCTGCTCTCGGAACATCAATCTGCTCTCAATATGTATGGGTTCAGCATTAGTCAAATCATGACACTTTTGAAAGAATGCCTAAATTGCAGCCTATTCCGATGATCAGGAAGGTATTACAAGCAGGTACGTGGCCTAGCGATGGGGCAAAGATTGGCTCCCGTCGTCGCAATTGTCTTCATGTCAAAGATCGAGAAACCCGTACTTGATCGTAATCCCTACTCTTTTGTCGATACATTAACGACTGCTGCATTATATGTCCAACTCAAAGTGAAATTGACATATGCTTCGACATTCTGAACAGCCAATCCCCTAACATAAGATTCACGCGGGATAAACCCGACGAAAATTGGCTGGCATTCCTAAACGTTCAAGTGTGTTTGTCTAACGGATCATACGTAATCAAATGGTTCCGCAAACTAGCTAGTAAAAATATATTGATTCACTACCGCTCTGCGCATCCTTCGAGCGAAACGAAACGGTCGGTAATAGGAAACATGTTCAAAACAGCAAAATCGGTTTCATCCAATGTTGAACAACGCAATGCATCGATTAACCTTGCCAAACAGATTGCGAATTCTAACGGCTATCCTGAAAAAGGTGCACCAAGGCATACCTGTAGGCGAGGAAGCAGACCGATCGAAATGAAGCAGACAACAAAAATACCGTTTTGTGTTCCATTCGTGACTGATGATTTCAGCAGAGCTATCAGAAAATCTTTGCTGCAAGCGGGCCTTGATGATTCCGTCAGAGTTATAGATATCCCATCTCCTAATCTCAAAAAACAACTTAGCCGCAATCGAGCGTACGATAGAATCTGCACAACCGCTGACTGTGTCATCTGCCCGTCTGGAAAACCAGGCGACTGCATGGAAATAGGAGTGGCATATCTCATAACCTGTCAAAATTGCGGTGACCAATACATAGGAGAGACTGGCAGACCCTTGTGCGCAAGAATCAGAGAGCATCTTGACGGCCTTAGAAAGTCCACAATGTCCACACCTTTGGGTGCACATCGAAGGCTATGTCATGAGAACCAGTACTTTCAAGTCACTGTTACGATCTTGTCGCACGAGTCTGAGTTAATAGCCCGCAAAACGTTGGAGGCCTTTTGGATAGCGTCCAAAACACCAAAAATGAACAGCAAAGATGAAGGCATTGCCATAAACAGTGAACTGTTCTCTTATCAAACATATGTGGATTTTGATAGAGATCTTCTATGACCATATAAAGGGCATTGTTGACACTAACTATCATACTCACTCATAGCGCAGCTACAGCGCAGTACCGGTTGTTCGCTTTATACATCCCGATCTAGCAAGGCTGAGGTCAGGCTTTTAACATCTACTCTGCCACTCCATCACGTAGTTAAGCTAAATCCATTGCCAAACAAGGCGTTTGAGTCGGCAGTTCTGAAAGTCTCGATCTTTCAGGAAGCCTGAAGAAGGCGGACGGACCGCCGAAACGTTGGCTTGTCGTTAAATAAAGTCTTGCTACCAACCTTGGTCAACAGCTCTAAAAAACTATATTACAATTGATCACAATGCCAAGGTTTATCGACATTCGAGCACGAAGATCTTAGATGATGATCTCTAGATCTTAGATTCGATGCAGCATTTCATCCTCTTTTTAATGGTTCTAATTTCGCTGCATAATGTTCAATGAGCTCTCGAAAAATTACCAAAATCTGCGACTTATGCTTTTTGCCATGGTCAAGTTCGGCTATTTTTCCAGATTTTTGTCCCTAATCTCCGAGAAAATACAAATGGCAGGTAGATAGAACAAACATTGTAGAACACAGAGCAATTTTTTCTTGTCCTTAGCTATCAGAGTTTCTACAATCAATTTCTCAATGCCATCAAATTCCATATTTAGTCAAGTCTAACCTCACAGATCAATAACCGGCAAGCGATTCGGGTGTCATTCGATGCAGCTTTTTCTCCTATTTCTGACGGTCGTTTTTTGTTTCCGATTCATCATGTTTTCCGGGTTAAAACCATCAAAATTCAACTTTTCGAAGGCACCCCAAGGTGTACCCGAAATTTTCGAAAGTTGCTAAACCGAAGCGGTGAATGCTTGTTTGGTTTGCAAAATTGTTGCCAAACCATAATCCATCTTTGTAAGCTTCAAAATCTGAGACTTGTTGGCGTTTGATGCACTTGTGTCTGAGACGAGCCTGCTAAAATTCGGTGGTTCCATCAAAAAATCTGTACAAAAATTATGACGAGCTTTGGAAAGTAGAGGAACGTTGTGCTGTTTCCTGTAGGGTTTGCTCCATCCATCCATTACTTGGACTCCTTCTGAGGTTTGTTATAAAATTTTAGAAAAATTGTGAAACTTGGCCATCTCAAAAAGCATAGGTCGCAGATTTTGACTCTTTTCTGGAAGCTCATTGACTTTATTGCAACAACTTCATAACCATTAGAAAAGGAATGAACTGCTGCATCAAATGCTGATAGAATCTCTTACATATCTGTGTTCCACGAGGTGTGACATACGTTTGAAAAAAGCGACATTACTTTCGGAACGACCTAATATTTTTAGTTGTTTACAGTTTTATTAATTTCGTTTGCTTGAGGTAAAGATATTTTGCCAAAAAATTGCATTACATTGCACATTGCTTACGCTATCTAACCAGGGCCCAGCACGAGGGTGGCAAATGGACATCGGTGAAGACTTCGCCTTTGCCACTATCAGTTTTTACGATATCCCACTTGATCCCACCATTTGTGTAGGTTGCTTGATTGGAGCGCGCTTTCTCCCTCAACAGAACCGGCATCGTTGTTATTTCGGATTCTAGCAAGGAGGAGAGGAGTTTTGGAACCAAAATTTTAATATGTACTAAACTTTGGGTGTAGAACAGATTTATGTAAAAATTTTGAAAAACTTTTGTGAAATGGAAGTTTTGCCCACCTAATTGGAAAAAAGTCAAGCACGCTCTTTATTCGCATAAGTTTCTCAATTTGTTCCTTAGTCCCACTGCGCGTATACACATCAAATCTCGTGCCATATCTCATTTCTGCGTTGCAAACGTCATTTCATCAGTATGTGAAAGAAGGCAATTTTCAAAAAAAGCTTGCTACAACCCTTCAGGCACATAATTTTTCCACAATACTCTGCACTATGCTCCTCCTAATCCAAGTCCGTTTATATTCCAAATTTTTAGTCATATCGTTATGTGTGCGCTGTAATCAAGACATTCAATTACAACTCCATGAGAAAATTTTGGAGTTCCGAAGATGACGAGCGAGTTCGGAGTGTTTTTGCATGTCAGTTGCGTAGCAACCTGTCGAGAAAGTGCATGCACATGTAAGCATATATTTGGGACATCTCCCTTGCTTTCCATCCAAAACGATTTTCCAACTTGACATATGCCCACCTCGTGCCGGGCCCTGTATCTACTTGCTATCAAAGCCCTTTTGAAAGTTCAAAATTAAGATTATCAAAAATTGCCAATGGACATGATAAGAATCATGGGTTCGAAACTCCGGCGATTGTCTGAGGGACCACAGGAAAAACCAGCACAGAAACATGACTGCTGAAAAGAGGAAGAAAGCTGCATCGGTAGTGTCTATTATGTTTCCCTGCCTTTGTTCTACGTGTTTTTACGATAGGCTGAAAAAAACGGAAAGAACTTCTGGAATGACCTACGTTGTACGTTGTCACAAGTCAAAAATGCCACAATATGAAAAAGATGGACGTGCGGCACAAAAGGGCGTTAAAGCAGTTGCTTTGATAAATTGATTCTAGCACGAACGATTGTGTCTGATACTTAGAAATCATTACCTTAACAAGCTCGTCCAACGCTAGAATTTTCCATCCGGTATTATTGCTCCTAAGCACTGACATTTAACGGCGTAAAGACAAAAGCTTTATAAACTTACTTACAAAAACATCGCTTTCAGTTCCGATTCAACGGTCCTTATAATATCAATCCGACTAAGCCATTCCTTGCTAAATTCCTATATAAAGCGGAAAAGTTGATGGGACACCTAAATACCTGATCTTGAACCCAAAGTGTGAGGAAGCACCCGTTTTGCCACTCTCGACGCCGCAGTTATACTCCTAAAAAAGAGCGCTGGTTAAAGAATTTCCACTATGCTCACAACGAATTATTCACCACTGCGTTGTGACTGCTCTCTTTAACGATCACATGAGGACTTTTTATCTTCAAAGCAAGGTCTTTGAGTTCTTTATGCTTCCGATCCTTTACTTTTTCGAAATAGGGCACAAAAGATTTCTTCACTGCATCCTGCCAGAAGTTCTTGAAAGCTATCGGTACGTCCTTCTTCCAAGCTCCTCCTCTTATTTTATTGGCGGTATCCATACAGGGTAAGTAAAAGTTTGCGGGTACTTTATAAAATTCTTCGAGGCGAGAGATTTCCTCAGCGTCCATCCTTGATATGTACTAAATATATCAAGTTCTTAACACGTAAAATGGAGTAGCATGCAACGTTGTTGTGATAGATACTCACCAATGAAATCACAGCCGCTAAAAGCATTTGATAGAACGCTGTCGAAGTTTGAATGCTGGCTTTATACTGGGTGAAGCAGAATTTGTTCAGTTGTATAACTTACAAGTGCGTCCGGACTTTCGAGATCAGCTCACTAGGAATGGCACATGAACGAAATAAACGACCGTGCATACATTGGGGCATTTGCGCAAGTATTTAACAGGTGCTTAGAGTTTAAACAGTAGTATGAACAGTTTTGCGTTGTGGGAAAACAAAACTTTATAGGCTTGTCCACTTACTTGTCGTGATCGTGAACTCCTAGTCTTACAGGCGCGCATTCATCAGATAACTAAACTCTGCTATAATTCTACTTTCACAAGGATACTGTGTGAAGTAAAGCTTTACTTTGTCAAGGTTCTTTCCCTATGTGCCTTTTTGCCACCTCGTGCTGGGCGCTGGCTGGAAATGATTTCATCTACCAAAAACAGAAAAATTTGACGGTTTTGATGGGAATTTACGATTGTGGTAGAGTAAATCATGCCAGCAGAGGGTAGTACAGACGCCGGAAAAAATTTACAGATTGGCATATAGATTATACCAACCAGCATCGGTTGTGATGTTCCCGTAACGAGGCTATGTACGCGTCTCGAGCGCAGAAACTTGTACCTGAGCGCGAAAATCGATGTAGAGATGGAGTCAGTAAGTGAAATTTTTCATGTTTGTAACAAAAGCAGACTTTAAACACAAGGTAAATACTTATTTGATAACTTTCGCGTTTTTTCGCTGGCGGAAAGACGAGTGGATATCTAAAACGTGTTGTTTCTCATTGTTGCACCGACTCACCCTTGCAACCACTCAAAAACTCAGGATCTACTACAACAAAGGAGCCTTATTAAGATGTTTTATGTATTAAAAAATTGTTACTAGTTTGTATAGTACCAATAAAGGGAACGACTAAAACTAACGAAGCCACTGACTAAATTATCGAATGATTTAGAAGAAAATCACAAGAGATAGCAAAGGCTTTGAACAACTAAATATTTTGAAAAACTGCATAGGCTGTATTCGTGACATTCAGAGGTATTCCAACTGAAAAAGAAACTTCCTAGAAAGAAATCTCATGTTCGATGCTTACTCAGTAGGAAACAGAGTGACATTAGCAATAGTGAGGCAATAGTGTGCAGATTTGCAGGATACAGCGATATTTTGCAATAATAAGCTCAAAAACATTCACAAAAGTCATCAAATAGCCACATCTGCGAGTGACTGCTTGGTTCGTGCCTAGACTGCGCGCTACAAGCGCAGCTTCGCCAGTGAGCTGCGTGTGCGCGTAATCTCATCGCGAGATCCACCACGACCGATCGTGGTACAGCTTATAAATCGACAGCTTTAGTGCTCGTCTATATCAGTAGCAAAAGTCCCAGCGAAATCCGTATAAAAACAGTAAAAGTTCAACTCGCTGAGGTATGTTCGTGTAATATAAAGGGTGATACAATACCGCTCATATTTTTTGAAAAATAGACGCGAATGTAGCATTATTCATGCGACATGTGACATAACTCACGCCACGGTAGCATGAGTTATGTCACATGTCGCATGAGTGATGCGACGGTTGCCACATGTATGGACATCACAGTGACGTGGCCATATCTCGCTTCAGATTGGACGAATTTTGAATCCAAAGCCACCATTCGATTCAGCTCAGCGCGGAGTATCTTTTGATGTATTGGAAGGGAGGGTACGATGTCTTCGATATTCCGTTTCCAGTTTTCTCAAATTCTTCTGCTGAGGTCCTTTCGCGAATATGTGTAGCAGCGCCTATCCAACATAGAAGATTCCACTAAGTAAATTCGATAATACTGCTCTCGTAAATTAAATTATTGTGCGCTAAAAAATAGGCTCAGACTTCTTTCCTAAGGAGATAGAAGCGTTGGTGAATTCTGGAAAAATTACGCGTTTTAATTTCTACTCGCCATAACGTCCTTCGGTATAAGTATTTTGAGTTCGAAAACAGTACTGTGCTCAGTTCATCAAGGCGAATCTTCTGATATACAGCATGTCTTTAATATTTCGATTGCAGTATTCTTGAATTTTTCTGCGGACTTCTCTTCGCGAAGATGCAAAGCAGCGTGCATTGTCCCGAGTAAATTCCCGCAAGGACCTTTCGGTAGTACTTCTTCTGTGAATTGTGATGCGCTAAGGAGTAGCCGTAAATTTCTTTTCAAAGGAAATAGAAGGGCTGGTGAATTGTGGAAAAACCTTGCTGTCCCGAATTCTGCTCGCCATAGCCTTAAAATACGTAGCTATCTTGCTAAGCAGATGTGAGTTTCGAAATCAGCAGGTCGGATAATCTCTATGAGCAAGTTTTCCGATGTGTTCGGGCTATTTCATTTTTCTCGTTTTACGCTCTGGAAGCTCGCCGATGGATTTTGGTCAAAATGTTGGCTCTTGAATTGTAAGGAAACTTTCGTTTATAGACGTTTTCGAACACGCTCTTTACGAAAATCGTGGTATTTGAGGATTACAGGGTCTTTTTGGAGAGATACGGTGAGGTGACTGTAACTGCATCAAAAGTGCGAAACTTTGCTCGCACTTCTCGCGTATATCTGTCAGAAAACTTGCCTGCTTGCTTTTCAAGTCAAAGTTACTAGAAGCTGTGCTATCGAATGGTGGACTACCCAGGCTCCAGTCTGTGAAATTCGTCGAGTTACGAGCCAACGATTGCCCAAAAAATAAAGATCGCATATTTCGTCGAAATTCCACCGTGAGTGCCTGTACAACACGCTGATCATATCTTTTCACACCTAATGTCTTAATGTCTTATATAATAATATCCGCAATGCGAGCGTCATACATGCACTCACGGTGGAATTTCGATGAAGTATGCGATCTTTACATTTTGGGCAAAATTCATGGAAACGCGTTTTCGTTGGCTCGTACTCGACGAATTTTACAGACTTGAGCCTGGGTAATGCACCATTCGACAGCAAAGCTCCTAGTAATTTTTACTTACAACTTACTTACTTATTTTTACTTACTTCTTGTTAGAAAAGCAAGCAGGCAGGTTTTCTGACAGATACGCGAGAAGTGCGGGCAAAGTTACGCACTTTCGTGATGCATTACAGTCACCTCACCGTATTATACAAGCTTATATCAGACCGCGAATGCTTTTTTATTGGTTATTGGTGATTCCTCACGAATTCATCACCATTACAGAGGGATAAGAATGTGTGACATTGGTGATGATGGTGAACGAATACCACTGCGATTATTGCCATGGAATAAAGTCACCGGACTTTCTTTCGATCGCAAGAAACTCACCATCGTTGGTGCCGATACAACGAAATGTGCCTCTATGCGCAGACCGAAAGCAAAGCCAGGTTTGCCGATTTCTGTGCAAAAAGAGTTTTCGTACCTGTTCAAATAAATTATCACAGGTATCTGCTGGAACTGTGTCCAGCCGTGCATCAGACATTGTTGTTTCTCTCGCACCAAAATTATAAAATCGCTCCTTTTCCGCAGTTATTCCACAAGAAAAGCGTTGATCGAGTCTCGACTTCGTCAAATACCACCACAGCTCCGGGAGAGCATGAAGTAAAGGTAGCTGTTTATGCTGCTATTTTTCAGAACTCTTATCTAAGATTCTTAATATCTCTTCTTTAAGCCAAATTTTTTAATCGAATTTCATCTTTCAGACAGCGACTCCTTGAAAACGACTCATTGAGAAGCTCTGGTGACCGAGGTCAAAGATCGGTATCGTCGAAGCAAAGAGTCCGCATCAAGTTGGATTCAAATTTGAATCTGAAAATTGAGAAAATGGTTTAGAACGTAGGTTTTTTATAGAAGTATTTATTAGGTTGTCAAGAAAATAATGTCCGTTTTTATTTGCTTGCTTCAACAAAGCAAACAGACTCAACCCAACAAAGGGTAAGGGGCACTGTTCGATAAAGCAAAGCAAGCTCTACAAGATGGCACTCATGTCTTTGCGCCATGCTCGATCCACGGAGAGTTCGAACTCAAAATCTAAAGATTTCCAAATGCCCAAAAAATCGAAAAAAATCAGATCTTCGTCCAAATATTACTGTAGGGCTGAAAATCTACAGTTATGCTTACCTAGGCTTGTAGTATAGAACTACATATGCAAAAACGGCTCAGCATTGCTTTGAGAAAATCAAGGAAATTTTCGTTTTCTCAGTTTCTAATCAAGGAAAAAATATGGCAATCGCACATATGGATATCAGATATTGATAGTAATGATGTGAGCGAGTGGGAGGTCCGTAGAAATTATTTGGACGAACATCTGATTTTTTTCGATTTTTTGGGCATTTGGAAATCTTTAGATTTTGAGTTCGAACTCTCCGTGGATCGAGCATGGCGCAAAGACATGAGTGCCATCTTGTAGAGCTTGCTTTGCTTTATCGAACAGTGCCCCTTACCCTTTGTTGGGTTGAGTCTGTTTGCTTTGTTAAAGCAAGCAAATAAAAACGGACATTATTTTCTTGACAACCTAATATGTTGCATGGCACTTCCGTCGTCTTCTTGTTCAGTATTTAAAAAGTATAAATGAGAAATGAAGCAGTTGTTGTAATTGTTTGCACTTTGTAAATTGTGGCCAGAAGATTACGCTAGCGGTGATTGTTTGAAGTTGCAAGTTTGCACCTGAAAGAAGCAAGGAAATAAAATACGTAAGTATGGTAGAAATGAGTGAAGCATCGGGAAAGGATATGGATTAAAATGCACTCTTTTGCATTTTTACTATCTCAAATACTTTCTGCCGGACTTTTTTATTTAAGTGAATATTTTCAGACATCCGTCAAGAGCGTGCCGCTAGTCAGTCCAGCAAAACAAGTGACTCATGTGACCATACTGACCAAAGACATCCACCATCAACGGGATCAGATCCAGGCGATAATCACGAGCAGAATATCCACCACGCCGTCGATTCTACCAATGTGTAAATTACCATGTCATAAAATCTTATGGTCTAAAGAATTCATTTCTAACATTTATAGCAATTTTTTTAGCCGACCCGCTAGTGTGAATTCGGCGTCACAGACGGTCGAGACCGGCACTAGCTGCGGTACATTGATGTAAATTTCATTTTGAAAAATGGCATCACAGCATCCGATCTGGTTATTTTGGAAGCATATGGGATACCTTATCAGGTAATATCCGGCGTGACTACATCAATCTGCATAGTCTGACTGTGTGCTCTGTTCAAAAATTTTACATTGTTTAGGGTGAGCTGCAGTACTCATCTTCTGGCGGTTCTCGAAGCGATTCCGTGCAACATTCGAACGAAATGCTTCCGGAGAGTATGCTCCACAGTTATCACTGCGACCAGGTAAATGAACATATAGACTTTTTCACAAAAAGTGAGATTCTGCTTCGAAGTCGAAATTAAGTTGAACAAGGATTGTTTGTGAAATGAGAAGATAAACGAATGATCGATTAATTGATCAATTGATTTAGTGAATGAATGAACGAAAAAAGATTGAATGTATGTATGTGTTATGTTGATGCATATTCTTGCACAAAAAACACATTCTAAGAAAGCTCAAACAAACTAATCAATTTACACAATATGCACTTTGTTGCTATCAAAAGTACCCTATTTTCAGGTGTATAAGCCGCACCCTTTTTGCTCTAAACGCGAGCAGACCCAGGCATGCTGCCGCGCATATGTCTCGCAAAGCGGTCGCCTTATCGCATACTGCTCTCACTTAACGCGCTCCATGATGACAGTCAGTCTTTTGGCGTGTTCGCCTTTAGAGTGAAAAGGGTGCGGCTTATACACCTAAAATAGGGTAGTATTTTTTTAGTACATTTCAGAAGACCAATTTGAAAAAAAAAAGAGTGAGACGAAGAAATTGGATTTCGTAACTATTTGGAGATGTCCCACTACGGATCTGTTTCTAGTTCATAAAATCAAGATCAAAAAAGAAATTCAAAATTCCTATGGATGTTTCAACAATTTTGGCTGCCAAAGTTCGAAAAAAAACTTTTTGAGTATTTTTCTTAATCGGCTTATATCGTAGCTATATGCTATTGAGGAATCTAGATGCGAGCACATTCGGAATGCGTAAGATTTTCCCTCTATGTGCATTAAATGAGAACACTCATTGAAGTTGGAGAAACTAACGAAAATTGAAAATCTTGGTGTAAGAATCATGCAGCAACCTAATTTTTATGATTGAATAAACGGGTGACTGAACGACTCATCAAACGAGTGGATGACTGAATGACTAAATGAATAAATGAATAAGTGAACGAGTACACATTTTACAGGGTTGCGCTCATTCCGATGATGCTGACTCAACGCTGCGCTCATGTCTACCACAGCAATCATCGATATCGCTTCATGACCTGCGTACAGCTGACGTATATAGAATGAAACCACCACCTGGCTACATCGATGAGAGGAATATATCGTCGGATAATGAATCGTGAGTTTTGAACTTCTTTTGGTTCGTGAAAGGATGGAGACGTAGTGGCAAAAATATTACTACAGCATATGACCATGTTTTGTAATTGCGCCTTTCAAATTTCTTGAGGCAACACTCCTGAAAAATCTTTCTTCTGTTCCCTCTCCACCCTCACGCTTATTGCTGGCATCCCAGGTAAAAAGATTATTTTTGATATTTTAGAAACCTCATTACTGCTCCAGCGTTGAGATGGTGTGCTGCGGACCAGCAAATACAGAGATTAGGCGCTTCTGGACAAGCAAGAAGCGAGCCGACAATCGATTCTGATGAGAGTTTCCAACTTCCCTTAAAGCATTTTTCGGGCCCTGGAGGGTGCGCTTAATCGCCATCGAAGGCAGAGGTACTGCGAATTAAACATTTCTGAATTTTAATATGGTGTGTTGCTTACCCCCCAAATTGAGAACACAGCAAGTTTGAGCGCACAGCATGTTGTTGCCAAAAAATGCGCTCGAGTGATCTTGCGATTTCCCTTCCACCGTTGGAGAGGGCAAGCCGAAATGATGTAACCATAAGGGTCCCGCAATGACTCTGCTTCCAAAGCCGTGGCGGGAACGTCCACTTGTCCCGATATGAAGGGCCTTTGGAACTTTGTTTTTCGAATTGGTCAGAAAGTTCTGTCCCAGCATTTTCAAAAAATCGTTACTTCTTTCTAGCGCAATGTTTTTGCATGGCCTAAACCATTTCGAAAAGAGCAGTCCATGCACTTTTTAAAACTATGTTGGCTGCTATTTACTAAGCTCTAGATGCAGAGATAAAATTGGGAAAAGGAAATCACTTCAATTTCGGAATTTTTAAGCAAGATCGTTAAAAAACCCAAAAGTGTGCCATAAAATCCAAAAAACCAGTAGCCTAGGTTTTCTGATTTCCTCTTTCTATATGAGCAAAATTTGCGCTGATAGAGCTCTTTCTAGAAAAATTATGATTTTCAAGAAAAAATGCCAAAAATCAGTTTCTTAAGGAAATTGAATTCTTAACATTTTTTTCAAAAAATCATAACTTCTCGAAGAACAGCTCGATCAGCGCAAACTTTGCTCAGCCAGGAAGAGGGGGTGAAATAGTCTAGGGTACCGGCTGCTTCGGATTTTCTGACACAGTTTTGGATTTTTTAACGGGCTTGCCTCAAAATTCCGAAATTGGAGTGATTTCGTTTTCCCAATTTTATCTCTGCCATCAGAGCTTAGTACATAACAACCAAGATGTTTCTAGAGAGTGCATGAATTGCTTTTTTCAATGTGGTTTTACCCTTGCAAAAACATTGTGTTAGGAAGAATCTATGATTTTTTGAAAATGGTGGGACAGAACTTTCGGACCAACCTAATATATATATATAGTGGAACACACAAGTATAGAGTATATACTCTATACTTGTGTGTTGTACTTCTACCGTGCTGTCTTTTTTCACTGTCACTAACAAATCAAGCTATGGTATTTATTAACCACTTCATGGTACAGAAAAATCTACATCAGCGCAAAATTAAATAAACTACATCGAGAGAACACTTGACAAAAAACAACTGGAATTGGACTAATGTGTGTCGTTCGCATCCGTTACTGCAATATCGGCGTCCGTTTTTTTGATGATGTTCAAGTCAGTGCTCACGTTAGATGTCCTAGGGCGGTTCTTCTGAGAAACATCAGCATCAGATGCGTAAACTTTTTGGGACGAAAGTTTTACCTTTGACGCCTTTGTCGTATTCTTATGCAGTCTGTAGAAGTTCTTTGTCCGGTAGGCCAAAAGCGTCCAATACAAACCCTGAATAAATTATTCGAATTGATGTACAAAATGACGGAAGCAACCTACTTATTAGTAAATCCACAGTGCATTCCGGGAGATGCTTGAGGTTGTCATCTTTTCCTTTTTTGCCAGTTTGCCTACATGCATACTTTTGAATTCCTCTGCCGGTTCACAAGCCCAAATAATTATGTGTAAGGCAAGATTTCCTTCAGCAGTGATCGCTTGCATTGACGAAATAGTGCCTAAGAAAATCAGAAACATGATGAAAATGCAGAAAATGATCATGTTTATGGGCGCAAGCCGATCTCTTCCATTTTCCTAAGACTTCAGTCAAATTCAGCTCCCAAAAATACGATGCCTTTCGTTCATTCATTTCATATTCAAAAACCTCAATCGGGCTGAGTTTTAGAGAGCAGACTTTCTTTTTTCGGTTAGATAGACAAGAGCAATTGTGGGACTATGTGAGCGAATTAGAAGGCCGAATATCATTTTTTCCGTGTTTGAAAGATGGATTTTGACAATTGCGATTTTTTCTTTTCGGCATGGATTGCTGCCTCATCATGCCAAAATTCAAACAGCTTCTGATACTCGTTAATTTCGAGAAATTGCGATTTTCGGGCTATAGCGACTGGTTAATAAAAATTTGAGCTAGATCACTTTTACATAAGGAACGAAGTCAGAAAGGACCACAATGGAACAAAAGAATATGGAGAAGACGACTGTCATCGAAACATGTATAAAATAGAGCAAAGAATGGATTTTTGGCAGCCCATCAAACTTCATGTGAGCCATATTTGAACAAGCAGTATTTCGCCTTCTAACTCGCCCATTCTTGACCCCACGAATTCTCTTTCTGGTCTATCTGCGAGAAAAAAGGCCCCTCTTCCAAGTACGGACCACTAGACTTGCCAAAAAGTGACCTAAGAGCGAGAGAAAGACGGACGAAACTCCGCAAAAAACCATTGCATGCGTTGTGAAAATTTCTCTGAAGAGAATAAATTCTTTTATCAAGGCCGGAAGCCAGAGCCATAGCTGGTCATTTGACCAGCTATGGCTTTGCAATCGGGAATTCAAAGATCTGATGGGGTACCAAACGTGCATTTTACACCTAAATTTAGTTCTTTGTTTCCTGCGTGAAAATAAATTTAAGTAAAATTTTTTTTACACAGCAGCAGTCCATATACGGCTGCAGCCGGTCTTATTCCTGTGAAACTGCGAAAACAAGTTATGGAAAAGCCCATTCTGCAGGAAAAATTTTCTCATAAAAACACATTTTTCGAACTATGACAATACTTCGGGCGCTAAACTATTTTTTTTGTTGGAGAAGTATTGTGTCATAAGGATTTTCTCGTAAAATGACGTTTTTGCAAATGTTTGTTCTGTACGTGTCAGCTTGAAGCTACCCACAATAAGTAATGGATAGTATAAGTTACATGTTTTGACAGCTTTTAGCTAGCTAGCGACGCCTCAATGGTTTCTTGAACCCGACACAAGATTACGAAATTTCAAGTTTGTTTAAAGCTTGTAGTTGGCTTGCAACTTAGACTATCAGGCTTGTGGCTAACAATTTGAGTCTAAGGTCAAAAAATTGCACTCCGCAAATTTGCTGAGTTGGAAGGAGTCCTGAAGTAACCTAATGAATTGAGAATAACATGCTTACCTTCGATCTACAACGCGAGCGCAGAGATTGTAAGTAAAGTTGCCATTTTGGACGCGCGATCTCATCTGAACTGACAAACCGTCAAAATGTCCTACGGAAATGGCGACCTCACTTTTATTGTAATATGTGCTGGTAAAATTGAGGAAAATAGTAAGCGAAATTGAATCAAAAGGCATCATTAAGTATGATTAAGATAGAGTGGGTCTGGTATAATGACAAGTTTATGCTATAAAAGGTCACAAATGATCCCAGAGAGCGATTATGAGCGATGTATAAGAAAGAGTGAAAGCAAAAACATCGAAGAAAAAGGCACCAATCAACAAAAAGCAAACACCAAGAGAAGACGACTATTTCGCAACATCACTATCATACACGCATGCGGCGTGCATCGGGGCAAAATCGCAGTAAAATCCGGTCAAAACTAAATTCGTGTCTCCCGCCGGTGCACCGGGTTTTGGTGCGATCAGCCATTTTGTGGGCGGTCCACCTGCGGGTGACAACGGCGAATGTCTGAGTATCGGGTTGAGGAACGAACTCCGCCACTTTGTGCCGCCTGCGCGGACTACTGGTCCTGGAACGACATGCAACGACAACGCATGAGGACCAGTTGCTGGCAAAGGCGGCCCAGAATGACGGACTTCGTTCCCCTACCCAAAATCTTCCTTTTCTTGCAGTTGTGGGGCCATCCATCCGTAGCGAACGACATGCGATTTGCGAGTCGAGTAGCGGTAGCGCTGCTCGACTCGCAAATCGCTGCGAATGGCGGCCGTCTCTTTACAAAGAAGACCACAAACGGAGTGATCAATAGGGTTCATTCGATGTCGCTCACTATCACGTTATCAACGGATATAGAGCCGTAAATTTTTGCATTGTTTGAGGTCTAAACGGTACAGTGCTGCCTAGCGTCACACAGTCAGCTTTTCGAGGTAAAACTCGCCCTCCATACGAGAAATCGTATGTAGGGCGAGTTTCTCCATAATCCACCTCCATACGAGAGAGCTCTTGACATTCAACGAAACGACAATGCTAAACGGATCAAGTTGGACTCATACCCACTACCGACTATAGATGCCATACTGCAAAATTTGGCAGGAAAGAAATTCTTTTCCACTCTGGACATGTGCAGTGGCTATTGGCACATACCAATCGCAGAGGACTCAAGGGAAAAGTCAGCTTTCACAACACCGGAAGGCTTATATCACTTTCGAGTGGTAGCGTTCGGGCTGAGCACAAGCCCAGCAGTATTCCAAAGGCTGATGGATGCTGTACTTGGAGATCTTCTAGGGGTAAATGTCTTTTGCTATATCGATGACATAATGATTTGCACACGCACTAAAGAGGAACACATAAAACTGCTTCGCGAGGTCTGTAAAAAGATGAAGACGGCGGGTTAGTTGAAAGCAAAGAAGTGCTTTCTATTACAGTCAGCTGTTTCTTTTTTAGGACATAAAATAGGCAGTGAAGGGGTACACACGGACCCTGAAAAGGTGGAAGTAATTCGACAGTATCCAGCACCCAAGAATGAGAAGCAACTACGGAGATTCCTAGGAATGGCATCTTCAAGTTTTGCCTAGGGTTTTCGAAGCAAGCGAGCTGTTTCGCTTGACATCCACTTCGACACCATGGTCATGGGGAACGACAGAACAGGAAGCTTTTGAGAAAGTTAAAACGATGATATCCAAAGCGCCGGTACTAGCACAACCAGATATTGCTAAGGCTAGGTCAGGCGAGAAACCTTTCAACATATGCACAGATGCCTCCACCACAGGAATTGGGGCAGTGCTCACACAGAAAGGAGAAGATAATGAGATGCATCTCATCTATTTCGCATCGAAGGCTTTGAGTAGAGCCGAGCGAAACTACCGTGTCACCGATTTGGAGGCACTAGCGGTCGTGTTTGCGGTGCGGAAATTCCACATCTTCATAT